AGGATTCCTCCTGGGGATGCAAGGCTGGTTCAACATATGCAAGTCTATCAACGTAATTCACCACATAAACAGAACCAAGGACAAAAACCACATGATTATCTCAATTGACGCAGAGAAGGCATTTGACAAAATTCAACAGCCCTTTATGCTAAATACCCTCAATAAACTCGGTATCGATGGAACGTATCTCAAAGTAATGAAAGCTATTTATGACAAACCAAGAACCAATATCATACTGAATGGGCAAAAACTGGAAGCATTCCCTTTGAAATCTGGCACTAGACAAGGATGCCCTCTGTCACCACTCCTATTCAATATAGTACTGGAAGTCCTAGCCAGAGCAATCAGGCAAGAAAAAGAAATAAAGGGTATTCAAATAGGAAAGGTGGAAGCCAAATTGTCTCTATTTGCAGACGACATGATAGTATACCTAGAAGACCCCATCGCCTCAGCCCAAAAACTCCTGAAACTGATAAGCAACTTCAGCAAAGTCTCAGGATATAAAATCAATGTGCAAAAATCACAAGCATTCGTCTACACCAATAACAGACTTAAAGAAAGCCAAATCAAGAACGAACTGCCATTCACAATTGCTACAAAAAGAATAAAATACCTTGGAATACAACTCACAAGGAACGTAAGGGACCTCTTCAAGGAGAACTACAAACCACTGCTCAACGAAATCAGAGAGGACATAAACAGATGGAGAAACATTCCATGTTCATGGTTAGGAAGAATTAATATCGTGAAAATGGCTATACTGCCCAAAGTAATTTACAGAATCAACGCTATCCCCATCAAGCTACCATTGACTTTCTTCACAGAACTGGAAAAAACCACCATGAACTTCATATATGGAACCAAAAGAGAGCCCGCATAGCCAAGTCAATTCTAAGCAAAAAGAACACAGCAGGGGGCATCACACTACTGAATTTCAAACTATACTACAAGGCTACAGTAATCAAAACAGCATGGTACTGGTACCAAAACAGAGATATAGACCAATGGAACAAAACAGAGGCACCAGAGGCAACACAACATATCTACAACTATACAATCTTTGATAAACCTGACAAAAACAAGCAATGGGGAAAGGATTCCCTATTTAACAAATGGTGTTGGGAAAACTGGCTAGCCATGTGCAGAAAGCAGAAACTGGACCCCTTCCTGACACCTTACACTAAAATTAACTCCAGATGGATTAAAGACTTAAACATAAGACCTGGCACGATAAAAACCCTAGAAGGAAATCTAGGCAAAACTATCCAGGACATAGGAGTAGGCAAGGACTTCATGAACAAAACACCAAAAGCATTGGCAACAAAAGCCAAAATAGACAAATGGGACCTAATCACACTCCACAGCTTCTGCACAGCAATAGAAACAGTCACTAGAGTGAATCGGCAACCAACAGAATGGGAAAACATTTTTGCAGTTTACCCATCTGACAAAGGGCTGATATCCAGAATTTACAAAGAACTCAAACAGATTTACAGGAAAAAAAACAAACAAGCCCATTCAAAAGTGGGCAAAGGATATGAACAGACACTTTACGAAAGAAGACATATATGAGGCCAACAATCATATGAAAAAATGCTCATCGTCACTGGTCATCAGAGAGATGCAAATCAAAACCACACTGAGATACCATCTCACGCCAGTTAGAATGGCGATCATTAAAAAATCTGGAGACAACAGATGCTGGAGAGGATGTGGAGAAAAAGGAACACTTTTACACTGTTGGTGGGAGTGTAAATTAGTTCAACCGTTGTGGAAGACAGTGTGGCGATTCCTCAAGGCCTTAGAAATAGAAATTCCATTTGACCCAGCAATCCCATTACTGGGTATATATCCAAAAGACTATAAATTGTTCTACTATAAGGACACATGTACACGAATGTTCATTGCAGCACTGTTTACAATAGCAAAGACCTGGAATCAACCCAAATGCCCATTGATAATAGACGGGATTGGAAAAATGTGGCACATATACACCATGGAATATTATGCAGCAATCAGAAATGATGAGTTCGTGTCGTTTGTAGGGACATGGATGAATCTGGAGAACATCATCCTCAGCAAACTGACACAAGAACAGAAAATGAAACACCGCATATTCTCACTCATAGGGGGGTGATGAAAAATGAGAACACATGGACACAGAGAGGGGAGTACTAAACTCTGGGGTTTATTGGGGGGAAAAGGGGAGGGCCAGTGGGAGGGGGAGGTGGGGAGGGATAGCCTGGGGAGAAATGCCAAATGTGGGTGAAAGGGAGAAGGAGAGCAAAGCACACTGCCATGTGTGTACCTACGCAACTGTCTTGCATGCTCTGCTCATGTACCCCAAAACCTAAAATCCAATAAAAAATAAAATAAAAAAAAAGACTAGCCTGGTCAACATGGTGAAATGCTGTCCCTACTAAAAATACAGAAACATTAGCAGGGCGTGGTGGCACATGCCAGTAATCCCAGCTACTCAGAAGGCTAAGGCATGGGAATCGCTTGAACCCAGGTAGCTGAGGTTGCAGTGAGCCAGGATTGCGCCTCTGTACTCCAGCCTGGGTGACAGAGTGAGACCTTGTCTCAAAAAAAAAAAGCACAAAAAACAAAAACAAAAACAAAAACATGTCTGCTGATTGTAGAACACTTTAGAGGCAAGAATCTCATGTTTTAAAAGAGATCGGGTCTTGTCATTTGACCTGGAAGAACGAGTTTTTGGCTTCCAGCTTTGAGCAGTTTGGGGTACACTAACCTATAAACTCACACAAGGCCATCTTCAGGTGGAGTCCCCAAGCTCCACTTGTGAGTGGGTGCAAGTCACTGGGCGCCCTGCCTGAGTCCAAAGCCCTGCTCAGGACCACAGGAGGGTAACTGCTGGGCCTGGCCTGTGAGTCACCAAGGGACTCAGACCGAGGCATGGAGCTGGCAAGGGGAAGGGAAGCTGGGTGTTTGGCCACCTGATATGCTCTCATGCTCCACTGGGGCTTTCAGAACCGCAGCCTGGCCTGGCCCAGCCATTTGCCTCATGAATACCTGGAGGGCTGGCACTGCACACAGGTGCTTGGGGCCAGTGCAATTCCATGGCTAAGCTTCACCAATGGGCATTGTGGCCCCACTATGCGTATGAGTGTTTCTGTAACCCCCACTCCAGGAAGGCAACACCCACACTTACACATCACTTTGGCTGGTGTAAATATGATCAAAAAGGGACTCAACTGCCATCCATTTCACTGGAATCTGACCCTAAAAAGGGGATGAAAGAAAGCCATTGAAGCTACTCTGATGCTTTAGGAAGCAGGGGTGAAGGAGAAGGCCAGGCTGTGTCCCTGAGCTTTCGGCAGCCAGAGGAGTGCTGTAGACACTCCTGGGCACAGAGCTGGCCGCACACAGCTTTGAAAAAGCTGGGACTCCAGCCTGAACCTCCTTGGGCATTGCTGAGATGCTGGTGGGAGTCAGCTGCCCGCCAGCAGCCACACAGGGCCAGCTTGTAACATGCCACAGGCCTGCTGGTGGTACAGAGCAGTGCTTCCCTATGTGCGGGCCTGGAGCTCCTCCAGCAAGATCTCTCTTGGGGTTCTGAGGGCCAATGTATTAGGGAAACCAACATCTAGCATTTCCATGCTGGGCAGTTTGCCAGCAGCTACCACTGAAGGAGCCTTGAGGGAAGGGATTTGTCTGTGTGCCTTGGGGGAGGCTGTTTTTCCTCTCTAATTGTACTGCACTGTGCTTTTAGTACTTTTAGTATCTCTGAATGAGTGCCCCTGGCCCCCCACATTCCTCAGCAGTGCTGGGGTCTGACATAACAAATCCCTTTCAGAGTGACTTGAAAAACAGCTTCTCCACAGACAAGCCTGAAGGTGCAAGTCCATTTTTAAAATGTATGCCTTGGATGTACCACAACATTACTGTCACTTCTACTTAAACACATTAGGGATTTATGTCCTTAGTGCAGTGTGGCTGTCTTGGTAGCAGTGTGTGACAGTGCAGCCTGCACACCTTATGCAGGAATGCCTTCAGCTCCTCTTCCTGTAGGACCAGTGCATCAACAGGAAGGCTCTGTCCACATCCTCCACAGGGCAGGAGCCAGCCCCAGCCACTTCCGCCATAGCAGTTCTGAGATCTGCTGTCACAAGGGAAACCCCAAAAGAAACGGAAGAGCTCACAATCCCTGGCAACACAAATAGCTTCCGCAAAGCCCTCAGAGCAAAGCTGAATCATAGGAAGTTGCCTTTTGTGTATGTGTTTTTGAATTCTATTTAGAGGAGAGTCTGCTCTGAATGTCTAGGCAGCATGGCCTTTGAGCAGCCCCCTGAACTTGCCCTGCCTGGGCTGCCACTGGGAGGCTGCAGAAGAGGGGCTGACATGGGTGGAAAAACTAAAAGGGCCAAGGCAGTTGTCTCACAGTGGGGAACCAGATGTCCCAGAAGAGTGCCCACTGCCTGTTTCATAGACTTGGACAAAGCTGGGCTGCATTTCTGGATCCTGTCCAGGTGACTCCTATGCCTCCAAACCCAGCCAAGTGTCCAAGGCCCCTGCAAACAAGCCTCAGTCGTAAAGCAGTTCATTCCTTTTTGCAAAGAATGACCGCCATGCTTCTGCTTTCGTTCCACCTTTCTTTGAGGAAAGAGCTATGGTCACACCGGAATGGTAAACTTCATTCTACAGAAGCCAAAGGGACTGTGCAGAAGAGGACTGTAACTTCTGCAGCATGAAGTGGCCTCTGAAAAGCCTGGAGAGGGTGTCGCGTCAGTGCACTGCAGGGGAGGGGTCCCCTCCAGGCCCCAGAGGAGAAGGACCAGACAGATGCTGGGTCCCTGGGGACCTAGGGTCGGAAAGATTTGGGGTGAGGGCTAGAAAAGGCTTAGTGCTCCACAAATCTTTCCTAGGCGTCTCAAGGGCGCTGCCCGCCCCGTGGCGCATCTGGGATCCAGGAGCCCTGCCTCACCCCCGGGACTCGGCACCTTGCTCCTCTTCACGTAGGAGTCCTTTTCATAAACATCTCAGGACAGCCCGAAATCAGAAATCTTCATCTTCCGCCCCTCAGCTACCAGGATGTTTCTGGCTGCCAAGTCAGCTGCGTGGAAAAACATGCGAACCCTCAGTGCGGCAGCGGTCACAGGCATCCAGGTGAGACCAGCAGAGGGGCAGGGTGTGGCCGGGGGAGTAGCCTGGTGAGACCTGGGCGGGGGGTGTGGCATGGCAGGGGCATGGCGGGCTAGAGCGTGGCATGGTGGGGGCATGGCAGGCCAGGTTGTGGGTGGCAGGAGCGTGGTGGGTCAGGGTGTGGCCCGTCAAGGTAGGGGCTAGCTGGGTGCACAGCCGTGCACATACACCTTCATCTCTGCCAGGTACTGCATCCCCCGTGAGATCTGCCAGGCAAACAAGATGAGCCCATGGTGAGGGCTCGCTCGTCCTCATGGTCCAGGGAGCTGGAGTTGCGGCTGCCTCCGCTTCCCACTTAGCCGGGCCTCACCTTTCTGCTCTCGCAGAGGAAGCCTCGAAGGGAGCAGTACTTGGCGTAATCCACGTTGAGGAGAAGCGGGCCTGGGGACGGAGAGAGGGGGCCCTGGGCATGCCGGTCAAGCAGATCCTGTTTTCCAGGAGGGAGGGGCGGGAGGCTGCAGGGCCCCCAGGCTGGGTCACCTAACAAGTAAGGGGACAGGCACAGCCTTGCCTGGGGCAGCACCGCTACCGCTCCATGGAGCACAGAGACCTTGAAGTCCTAGCTCCCTCTTGAACCACTTGCTCTGCCTCTTGCTGCTCATGTGGGTGCCTCTTTCTCGAGGTGCCTGAGGCAGGCCACATTGCCCTGGGAGGCACCCTCTCCCTGCCGCTAGGACCCCATGCCTTTTTGCCTCATGGGTCCTGCCCCAGCATAGGCAGGTGATGCCTACGCTGGTAGAGGGTGCTGATGGAGGCAGAGGCCTGCGCAAATGCAAGGGTTCCTCCCTGGCGCTGGGCTCTGCATGCAGCCTGCTCCCTGTTCGCTCCTGTCCTGCCCGAGGGACTAGCCTCCAACCCTGCTGGTGCCAACAGGAGTGCCTACTGTGCGCTCCCAGTGTTTCCTTATCCCTCTCACACACACGCCAGGAAGCCCCTGAGCACACAGTGGTTTGGAAAACCAACAAACCAGGGCAGTCTCTTGGGTCTTTATCTGAGAAATGGTGACAATGTTCCTGCCATGCAGGGTGGGGTTGGAGTCACCTGGGGTCACAGCACACCTAGTGCCCTGTGGTACTCAGGGTACCCGAGTACCCAGGATGGACTGTCTATTCCTAGAGCTCCCTGCCCCACAGGCCCAGCCTGGAACTGGGTGAGGACACCTGGGATGTTACACCAGAGATCTCTGAGCAGCCCTGTAAGCTCAGGGAATGCCGCTAGCACCAGGCTCCTCTGATGGAAAGTGCTCCCTCAGTCGGTGGACTCAGCTAGACACAAGCTCCAGGCTGGGGCCTGAACCAGGCTTCCAGGAAGAGGGAGAACAGTAAACAGGGCAGGAGCAGCCAGAGAAGGGAGAAAGAGGGAGAAGAGGGCTGCCTGGAGCCCCCAGCCTGGGTGCAGGGCTGCCCATCCCACCCTACAGCTGGCCTTACCATCTTGGCTGCAGGCCCCATACAGTTTGATGACATGTGGGTGGTTGACCTGCTTCAGGAGGTTGAACTCTGACAGCAGGTCTCGCAGCTCACTTGGGGAGGCATTCTCTGAAATGCAGCACAGAGCAGGTTGCAAACAATCCCTTCTGGACGCCCCTTCCATGACCACACCAGGTCAGGACAGACCCATCACCTTGGGCATCACTTGGGCCTCACCTTGCCCAAGTTCAGACAGAGAGGCCTGCAAGGATGACGCTGCTCGAGGCTTCTCCCAGCCTTTGGGGTCAGTGAACAGGAGCCACATCCACCCTGGGGAAGAAGCACCCCAAGGAGCCAGCATCCACACAGGCAGGATCTTTCCCCAGAATGTCCCAGGGCTGGGCCACCTGTGTAAGTAGCATTATGTCCCTGCAGTCGCTGTCTTTAGAAGACAGTGGTCCACAGAAATCCCCCTTATTAATCCTTCTGGAAAGGTGAGAGGACTCCCTGAGGTACCCACACACCTGCTTGTGGGGAGAGGCCCTGGAGAAGGTGGAGAACCATGAGGGAGGACCTCACACACTGCGACCAGTCTCCCCGTTTCCTGTCCCAATCTGAGATGGCTGGCCTGGAGGCCGGGGGCCCCCATGATGCTGATGTATCCAACACACATGCATGGCAGCTGCTCACATTCCCTCAGTTACCACAGAAGACCAATGTTAGCACCTGAGATAAAGCAGTGTTACCAGTGCACTGCACACCTGATGTTCTGCCTTATTCTTTTTTTTGAGAAAGCCACCACAGCCGGCTAATTTTTGCATATTTTTTAAAAATAGAGATAGGGTTTCCCCATATTGGTCAGGCTGGTCTTGAACTCCTGATCTGGTGATCTGCCCACCTTGGCTTCCCAAAGTGCTGGGACTACAGGCCTGAGTCACTGCGCCCAGTGTCATTCTGGCTTATTCTTAATGAAAGCATGATTCCCCAGAGAGGCTGACTGTAGAGGCATGAAGGAAAGAAGACAAAGCACCCCAGGGGTGGCCTGCCCAGTACATATGTCCTGAGGGCAGCCAGAATGCCCAGCAGTTGTGCAGGAATGCCCAGCATTTGCCTGGGCCTGAAGGTATTCCAAGAGTCAGAACACATGGCTAAGCCATCCCTCCTGGGTCAGCTGTCCCACTGCCCAGCTGTGCTGTGCCACATCCTCTGTCCTGAAGGCTTGCCTGGAAGGGAGAGGACAGCTGGGAGTTGGGGCCTCAGGACCCCTTGGACCAGCTGTGGGTGGCCTGGGGCTGTGTGTGGCTGCACTGGAAATCCAAGGGTCTTCCTGTGCCCCTGGGGAGTCTGGGTTTTACTGGCTTGGAGGTGAACCCAGTCTGAGGGGCTGGGTAGGAGTGTGAGAGCACCCTGTGCTGGGCAGCCCCCGACTGCTGCAAAGAATTCTCGTGTACACCAACCACTGTCCCTCACCGCCATGCAGCCTGGCTGTTCACAGGGCTGGGGTCTGGCCACAGAAGAAGGGGTGGCCCAGTGCAGTCACCAGCCTCAAACATGCACGCCTCTGTGGGCAGGTGTATGTGCCCATCAAGAGCCAAACTTGTGGCATGACTGGGCATGAGGGTGAGATAGGCCCGTGGGGGTCTCCTGAGATTGAGGGCCGGTCCTTACTGATGGTCTCTTGACTAGGATCTCAGGAGACAATGAATGGGAAAGACTGGAGTGAGGACAGCTCTCAGCTTAAAACCAAAAGGCTTTTTGAATGTTCTGAGATTAGACCTTCAGTGGCACTGGCACAGCAGCACCTCTATAGCCTTCCAGGAGAAGCAAAGGCCTCACTCTGCTTCTGTAGGCCCATGTGGCCCATGTGCCTGTGGTAGGGGTTCCCCGACTGCAGCCTCTCTAGAACAGCAATGGGAGTTCTTTGGGAAGTCCCATGCTGGCAAGACAGGCCTCACCACCCCCCTAACTCCAGAGACTCCCCCAGGTGCACTATGCCTGTGCCTGGCAGGTACCTTTCAGCATCTTCACGGCCACCGTGGTGTTTCAGCATCTTCACGGCCACCCTGCTCTGCCTTTCAGACAGAAGGCTGTTGCCTTGACCACTTTTCCAAATTCACCTTCTCCTAGAGTTTTTCCAAGAACCAAGTTCTTCCAAGGGAATTCCCACTTTGGATCCTCCTATGTTGGAAATGAGGGAAGGGAAAGAAGAGGGGAGAAAAGTGTGAGGATGATGGGAGGAAGAAGGCAAGACCCCTAAAGGAGCCCGCATGGACAAGTGCCAAAGTGCAGAGAACTGGCTGTCATCTGAGCCAGAGGCAGTGATGCCTGCCTCCTCCCAGGGCAGGGCCATACAGCCAGACCCCTGAGAGCTGCTATATGACAGGTCTCCCCAGGGGAAGGCAGATGTCACAGCATGGCTTCAACTCAGTATTCGACCCTGTCTGGCCCCTGGTCTACTGTCTCCCCTGACCCCCGTCCCAGGACTAAATGAGCACGAGGCCCAGCCCAGGACCTCCAGCTACAGTGGAACAACTTTCCTGCTTAGTCACCCCTGCAAAGAAAGGTGCCACCATGTTCTGCCTCAAAGTGTGGAAGCACTGCTCTTCCTGGGCTGTCACCTGTCTTCACACACCCGCTCACCCTGCCTGCTGGCACCACCACCCTGCCCTCCCACCAAAGTTACATCAGGCCCACTTGGGACTGCTCTGGATGCCTTCCCAGACTTCACCTTGACCCCCAGTACTTGGACTCCGACCAGGGAAGCCAAAGCCTGCCATGATCCAAGAACCCTCCCCTGCTATGCCAGCTCTGGGAGTCCGTCACCCTAGGTCTCCTGCTCATGGGTTGTCCTGGTCTGGCCCCACGCCCCCTGAGAACCCACAGTCAAGGTCAGTGTCTACATTGCCATGGCTGCCTTGCTGCTGCCACCTCCACAGCTGGCACTGGAAACCCATCTACCACGCTCCAGACACTGCAGTAAGTACATAAGGGTGACATCAACCTGATCCTCCCTAAAGCAGAGGTTGAGTCATGGGTCCAAGACCTGGTGTTGATGAGTGTGACTCTGGAGCTGACTGGGGTTAGGGTGATGGTCTCTGCCAGCAGCAGCCCAGACCAGTGTGGCCTTCCTGTGCAGCCTCACGCAAACCCACTGGGTTTTTGAAGGACTCTGGTGGCTCATACTAGAGTGCTGCTGTGAGGCTGAGCTGTGGCCAGGCCAGGACAGGGACCACTGACTAGGAAAGCTGCTGGGGAAGTGGCAGTAGCCACACTGGGAAGGCCTCCTTGACCAGTACCCTCACCAAGGGCTGGGTGTTGCTTGACGGAGGCTCCAGGGCTGAGGCCCCAGGCTAAGCTGCGCTGTGGGGTGTGGCCCCTCCCAGGAATCCCAGGCCACCTCCTAGCCTGAGATAGGAACTGACAGGGCCTGTGGCCACTGGGTGGTCAGCTTCTTCCCTTCCACTCCAGGCTGGAGGCTCCTGCTGAGGAGATATTCACGCCACCATAAGCTTCGTGGCTCACTGTCCACTCACATTCTTGGCTCTGAGCCTGTTTCTCCTATAACTGGGCTTGGCTTCCAGTGCCCTGAACTGTACTAGTGGGGACACTGGAGGGGCAGGCCACCAGCAGAAGAGGTCAGAGGCACCACACAGTGGTCCTGGCCAGGACAGGAGATCAGGAGTTGGGGCTTCAGAACCCCTTGGACCAGCTGCGGGTGGCCTGGGCTGTGAGTGGCTGCACTAGAAATCCAAGGGTCTCCCTGTGCCCTTGGAGAGTCCAAGGTATGAGGATGACAGGGGAGGAAGAGGGCAAGACCCCTAAAGAAGCCCCCATGGACAAGTGCCAATGTGACAAGGATCTCCCTGAGCCCCTGGAGAATCTGGGGTGCTTGCCACAGCCTGGTGGCTCTGAGCAGCATATGCAGACCTGTAGGCCAGTCTCCCCAGAGAGGCACCCGCCTCTGACTTCAGTGCCCCTCCATTCACACTGCTACTCCCCTGCCTGATGCTTCGGCCCTGACCACTGCCTCTCACCTGGATGGAAACAGCACCTCATCATAGTCCCACCCCACAGGCTATCCTCACACAGTGCCCTGCAGAAATGTGGGCAGAACATGGGCCTTGTCTGCCTGGCATTGGCAGCCCCTCATGGGATGGCCTCTGTATCCCCAGCTGGCCTCCCTCCCTGGACGGCACCTGGGGAAGGTACAGGGGTCTTCCCTGCCCTGCAGGGACCCTCACCGGGGATCTTGAAGGTGTCCACGGAGACCTGGTTCTCCATGAAGTCCAGCAAGGGCCAGCGGGTGCCAGACGAGGAGTAGCTGACCGGGAAGGCCTGGCGGGCTGGGGGAAGGTCATCTCAGCTGAGGGGATGGGCTTCTTGTGGGCAAACTTGTGGTAGCGATGGATGCAGAAGGCAGACAGCAGCACCGAGATGATAAAGAAGAGGACGACGGCTGCGATCACTGTGTGGCACAGCTCGTCACACAGCGGATCTGTGGATGGGGTTGGTATGAGGTTTGGCAGTGGCAGGAGGTCCCGCACCACCAGGTACAGGCTGCCCACACTCCTCCACATGGCTCTCCAGCCTGCTGTGTCTGCAGCAGCAGGAAAGTGGCTGTGGAGGTGTGGGAAGGCCTGAAAACACCCTATAGAGCATGGGTACTGCCGTGTACTGCCCCGTCCTAGACTACTATTGTTCTCTTATAGATGGAGATAGAGGCTTAGAGAGGCTGAGCAGCCTGCCAAGGTCACACAGCAGAGGCTGTGCTCACTACACGAGCTGGTACTGGAGGGCTGGTGGGGGAGGTCAGAATTTTCCTCTGTTCCACGTCTTTGGCATTTTCTTTAGGAAAATGCTAAGTGGCTCGGGACATAGGCCTATATAATACCAGAAAACAACACCAGAAACGTGTCCCTGTGCTCAGGCAGGACAGCGCCCCCAAATGTGGTCAGTGTGGCTGTGCCACCCACCAGACCTGCTGACCTTGAAATGTGCTCCTGGGTGGGTCCCAACTGCATGGTCACAGGGACAGTGACTTGTTAGGCAAATAAGTTGTTTGGTGGAAGAGCTGCTTTTCTGGCCTGCCCATCACAGAACTTAGGGCCAGAGGATACTTTATAGGGGCCCCAGCCCCTCTCCTGAGTTTCACCAATGGAGTAACAGAGGCCCAGAGGGAAAAAGGGAAGTCTCAGGAGACACACTCTCCTCCCAGCAATTTCCTCCTTGTTGGGGCCTCAGATGTGCTGCTGAGACGCCCCTGGGGCCGGGAGGCGGTGATGGTCCCGGCCGCCCACTCACCCTGAATGTCTTCCGGCTCACAGAAGCACTTCTTCTCCTCAGGGAAGCAGTTGCAGGTGCCATAGCCAGCTTTAATCCCTCGGGGCTCTCCAGGCTCATGCCCCCCAACAATGCTGCTCCCTAAGGGCAGACGTAGCCCACTTAGCCTCCTGGGGTGCCTGACCAACCCAGGCCCCCAGATTTCTAGGACAGCATCCCAAGAAGCCTGCTCCCCAACCAATGTCAGCAAGCACAGGTCCAGGGAGACCAGGGGCCCATCAGCTTGGCTCAGCCAGGTAAGGCTTGGCCACAGTGTCTCCCTGAAGCCGTGGGTACAGCCAGGCCCCCTCCTAACATTTCATCTGAACAAAGGACTCTGCCACCAAAACTGTGGAACCTGGTGACCCGACCCACAAGTTGCAGTGCCCCTCGTCTGTCTCAGGGCTGCACTTTCTCTATCAGTGACCCTGCTGACCCTTCTCTGCTTCTGAAATTCATGTGTGCTGATTTCTGGGAACTCAGCAGGGGCTTGGACAGTCTATGGGTCCCTGCCTCCCCACCATCCCTGACCCTGCCTGTTCCTTCCCCATGGCCAGGGTGATGCTGAAATACATAGGAGGCTTAGCTTGATGCATAAAAATGACAGTCATGGAGCTCTGGCTTAAGTGTGTGTGGGGTCTAGGTCCCCCCTACAACCTCCTGCCTGTCCCTGTGCCCTGATTAAACACTGCTTGACGTCTTGGGTCTCCACCACATCTCAGTGGCCGTCGGGGCAGGTCTTGGTGCTGGGAGAGCAGGTGGAGAAGTTCCTGGTGATCCCTGCACAGGATGCACAGCAGGCTGTCACCCACGTGGGAGCCCCGCCGCATGCCCCCACTGACTCCCAGGCTGATCTTGCCCCTCTAGGGAGGGGGCAAATGGAGGCCTGAGCAGGGAAACCCTGCACACAGAGCCCTGCCAGTGGGAGCATCCCGGGAGTCATACAAAGCCCTTACAGCAAACAAGCTGGGACCCTCTCAGGCCTGCACAGGGAGGGGCCCTTGTGGTGGTGGGTACACTCAGGCTTGCCTCTGGCTGATGCAGACAATGAGTCCCCTGCCCACATCACATCCCTTAGCAGAAGACCTCCCAGAAAAGTCCACTCTGTCCCCTGCACATTCCAACTTTGGCTCAGACCTTCCCAAGTCCAGAGTAAGTCTGGTCCAGGGACTATTGGCTGGACTCACAAGCCCTCTCCCCGAGCCCTGCACTGCCGCCTACTCTCCCAGCATCATGAGCCACATAGGGGACAAGGTGCCAGGAGCAGACCTCCCTTGGGTGTCCCCAGGGCCTACCTTTGCCATCTCCCTGCCTCCACTCACACTTGCCTGTCAGAGAACCCAGGCGGCTGCACTCCTCACACTCCAGCCATCTCCTGCTGACTGCACAGGACAGGGGGCAGCCTACTTCCATGGTCACATCTACAGGTGGCAGACAAGCAGGGTCACAGGGGACTGGCCTGTGCCCAGTGCCCAGCCAGTGCCTGAGGGCAGGGAACAGCACCAGCCAAGCTTCTCCATGGGTGGAGGCCAGAAGGACTGGGGTGGCAGATCAAGGGCAGCAGATCAAGGTTCCGGGAGCAATGGTGCAGGGCAGGGGATGGGGCATCATGGTCACAAAGCGGGGGCCACCGGGCTGGGGTAAGTACAGGAGAAAGGATGTGAGGGCAGCGAGATTCGGCCAATGGATGCCTAGTGGGACCTGTGTTTCAGGTACACAGTGAATGGCACCAATGGCAGCTGTGTCAGAATGTTCCTGAGAGTGCATGGGTGGTCCTGGAGGTGTGTCTTTTGTGAAGCTGCAAAGGTTGCATGGAACACACCTGTACCAAAAAACTGCTTGTTGTTTACCTGAAATTCAAATTTAACCAAGGCCTTGCGTGTTTTCTAGAAGGGGTAACCCTCTGCTGCTGGCTCACTCAGGGTGAAGCTGGTCTAAGCCTTCCCCACTCCCCAGCTAAGCCTTGCAGCTGTACTGTTTTTCTCAAAAGGCTGGAGGTCCAGGTTCTAGAAATCCCCAGGTCCCTGACCCACTCCTCCCTGGAGCTCACATGACCCCACCACTATGACAAGCAGCTGTGCCTGGGCCTGCCTGCAGGTCTGCTGGTCCGTGGCCACCACCATGTGGAGCTGGAGCTCGGCACACTTGGGCCGCCAAAGGACCTTGGTATCATTCACTAACAGGATCCCCGAGGTGTCCGCTGCTGAGGTGACCACCCCTAGGGTGCTGCAGTTAGCACAGGAGGCATGGAGCTCGTACTGGACATTGATGCCACTGAACGCCTGGCAGTTTTCCACACAGACTTTCCCAATCTAGGGGGGCATAGGGGAATACCTGAGCCAGACAGCCGAACCAGCCTGGCCCAAGGGTAGAGGTTCCCACACAGCCTGAGTCCTGGAACGGCTCCCAGCTGGGCCTGGAGACAGCAGCCCCGCTGGGCTCCTGGTCCTCCATCCCCACAGAGCCTGCAGACACACCTGCCTTGATTTTGCCCTGCCCTGCCCAGCTCCACGCAGGCCACATGTCACCGGCTACCCCTCTTCCTGGGAGCTGGAGGTCGAGGCAACACAGGGCCTTAAAGTTCAGTTTGGAGGCAGGAAAAGCTTCACGCAGGCCCTGACTCAACCCTTCACTCCCTCTTCCTTCCTCACTCAGACGCCAAGGCCACTGGAATGTCTCCTATGCTCATCTCTGGCTGCTCCTAGCTGCCCCAGCAGTTATCTGAGGACCCCTTGCTCCTCTCTCCATGCACAGGGCTTAGAGGTTCACCCTGCCCTGACGTCCCCTGGTCAGAGCACTGCACCCCAGCCACAGGACTTGGGAGCGTGGTTGCCCAGCCCATGGAGGACTAACGGGCCTCCCTGGGACTTTGACCAGAGCCCCTGGGAGAGGGGCCTCTTTTCTTGGGGATGCCAGGCCCTGGAGCCAGGCAGCTGAATTCTTTTCACCTCTCATCAACTCTTGCTTGAAACCAAAAGTTCAGTTGCTTGAAACCAAAAGTTCCACAGATGGTGAGAAGAGTTCCAGCCAGAGCAAGGCTGGGCTGCCCCAGGCCCACCTGTGACCACAGCAACACCTGCCTCCTGGGCCTCCTCGCTTTCCCCTAAAAAGCCCACTTCCACATTCTCATGTGAGTTTCAAAGTTGTCCAGGATTCCTGCCCCCAATTCACAGCCTTACAACCTGGGGAGAGGGGTGAGACCACAGTGAGGCTGAGGCTGGACTGGGATTCAGGTCCCTGTCACTCCTGAGCCTGACAGAGGGCAGGTGACCCACCTCCAGCAATGCCTGCTCCTGCCCACACCCCCTCGTGAGACCCACGGGAACCTCTGCCTTGTTGCTCCTCTATCCCTGATCCCTCTCCCATTAAAGGCCAAGGGGTGGTCGGGAGCTTGGATATATCCAAGCATGGGCTCCCTTGTAGGCTGGACCCGAATGGCTTCCAGGAGCTGATGGGGGCACAGACCACTCAAAAGAAATGGCAGATGGCGCTCTGAAGAGGAGGCATCTCAGGCTGCTCTTCGAGGGAGAGGGGCGTGAGAGACCATATGTGCTGTCATTTTAAGTCAACTTAAAAAGTAATTATGAGGGCTGGGTGCGGTGGTTCATACCTGTAATCCTAGCACTTTGGGAGGCTTAGGCAGCTGTATCATGAGGTCAGGAATTTGAAACCATCCTGGCCAATATAGTGAAACCCCGTCTTTACTAAAAAAATACAAAAAATTAGCTGGGTGTGGTGGTGGGCACCTGTAATCCCAGCTACTTGGGAGGCTGAGACAGGAGAATTGCTTGAACCCGGGAGGCAGAGGTTGCAGTGAGCCGAGATCACGCCACAGCACTCCAGCCTGGGTGACAGTGTGAGACTCCATCTCAAAAAAAAAAAAGTGCTTATGAGAAGAATCCCAGAAAGAATACCAGGATGCACAGCACTGGCACCAACGGGCAGAAAGGATCATGCCTCGTGCCTCATCCTTTTTAATGAATATTTATTACTTTTATTTCTTCTATTTCTAACCGTTATTTTCCAAAGACAAATATAAATGTATGCTCCCTAGCAAACCTACTGACAGGAAGTAAAAAGGAAGCTTTTTCTTGAACTCCCAACCTCAGGTGATCCACCCACCTTTGCCTCCAAAGTGCTTTGATTACAGGCGTGAGCCACCATGCCCACCAGTAAGAAGGAAGCTTTTCTTGAGTCCCCTGAGGGCACCACTGTGGATGGCACTGTGATCTCTGCACATGTGCAGATCCCCTTCAGGGAAGATCCGCTTTGGCACAAAGGGAGTCACGTGGGACCAACATCTCTGCAAGCCACTCTCACTTAACAACACACCAGGAAGATTCTTCCAAGTCAGCATATATAGATTTACCCATCATTGCTCCTGCATTGTTGAAAATAAATTTTAACAATATCAAGAAGGAAAAGGGGAATAAAAAGAGAGGCCCAAGGAGCCCGCAGCCCTGCCCACTGGGAGGTCACCTGCCTCCCTGTGACCCCATGTTCCCTGGCCTTTCATTCTTCCCCAGACAAGCAGTGGACATGGGCTCACCTAGGCAAATCGGCGAGCCCTCCTGCTCATGGAGAAGGAGGTACTAGGCAGGTGCAGGCTGATGGGCAGCACTGACACGTTGAAGTGGAGCAGGAGGATGCCCGCCCCTGGGCCCTGGAAGTCTGAGTCATTGACCAGCATGACCAGCCGCATGGTGCGGTTCTCCGAGATGGAGAGGTTCCAGTTGAGAACCAGCTCTGCAGGCGGGGGCACAACAATGACCTCCGAGCTTCTCTGGCCGCTCCCCCATGGTCACGCCTCTTCCCAGAGAGAGTCCTGAAAACACACTGGTGCAAGCATGCACTTTCACACATACAGTGCCACGTGACAGGCCTGGGGCTGGTTCTAAGTTAGCACCAATGTTCAAATGTTGGCACTTGCTGAGCTGAAAGCCCAGGGAACCCTTCTCAGTTTGAGGCAGCCTGCGTGTGTGTACATGTGCAGGCGTTGTCTGGGGTGTTTGTGTGTATAATACGCTTGTGTGGTATGCGTGTGTGTGGTATGTGCATGTGTGTGGTACGCATGTGTGTGGTGTTTGTGTATAGGGTATTTATGCGTGCGTGTCTGGGGTGTTTGTCTATAGAGTTGTAAATTAAAAGTAAAATCCTAAACCCCCAAACCAACCAAATAGATCCCCTCTTGGCCAAGGGGACACCAGAAAAACCTTAAAAACAGACTTCTGGGCCATGACAGGAAGGGAGGGTGGACTTGCCTTATTAGGCCCTCTTCTTTCTGGAGTTTGGACACAACTGACCAGCATTAGCATTAAAACAGAGATCGTAAGACTGACAGAATGGACTCTGTGGCAATAAGATACCAAATTACAAACAGGACCTAAGGCCATGCCAAGCAAGGGTTAAGTCACACCCTACAAACCAGAACATTGGTTTTCTTACTTGAGACAGAGTCTCGCTCTGTTGTCTCTCACTGCAGCCTTGACCTCCCAGGCTCCAGCCATCCTCCCACCTCAGCCTCCGAGGCTCCTATAATCCAGGAATGTGACACCATGCTTGGCTAATTTTTTGTATTTTTTTTTGTAGAGACAGGGTTTCACCATGTTGTCCAGGCTGGTCTCGAACTCCTGGACTCAAGCAATCTACCCATCTCAGTCTCCCCAAAATGCTGGGATTACAGGTGTGAGCCACCACACCCAGCCCATAAAATCTTGTTAAACCTTTTTTTCCCTGCCAGGTATACTGCAGTTTACTTTCCATCCTGACCCTCTATAGCATCATGTGATACATCACAGGCCTCCCTAACACATTCCTTTGTCCTGACCTGAAGTCTTTAGGCAAAGCTTTACTCTTTCAGCCTGCTATAAATTAAAGAATCTCTGCAACTACCTCTAACCTGAAAGCCCCTGCTTCAAGATACCATTCTTTTTGGGCCAAACCAATGTATACCCTCCATGTGTTGATTTACATCCTTGCCTGTAACTCCTGTCTCCCTAAAATGTATAAAAGCAAACTGTAACCCCATCACCTTGGATCTGGGGACCACTCACTCAAGGATTCTTGGGTTTGTTTTCTCCAGGCTGCGGTCACTCATCTTGGCTCAGAATAAACCTCTTTAAAATATTTTTCAGAGTTTCATTTTTGGGTAACAGGGTGTGGCAGGGGGGAGGGTAAGAAGGGAGGTAAAGGTCTGCATTGCCAAGGCGCTGGTGCTAGAGCCCTCCAGACAGCTGCCCCAGAACACGGTAGAACTCCCCTCCACAGCAGGAGCCTCCAGCAGACCCAATGACCCTGCAGGCTGAGCCCTGGAAGTTACGTTGTCTGTGTACCTGCTGTGTGCTGCTGCTGCAGTTCTCAGGTGGTGGAAACAATGATGGGAGGGGTGCTCTGGCACACAAGGTGTTCTGTGCTAGGGCAGGGCAAGGAGGCTGTCTCCCCTCTGACAGGCAGAACCTCCAAAGGCTTGGTGGGGTGGGGAAGACTGAGGAATGAACAGGACCAAGCCAGGCAGAAAGGGGCGAAGGACCTGTGGCCTGGGGCTCCCCCAGACACAGACCCCAAGTTCAGATGGTTTATTTGGAAGACAATCCCAGGAGAAATTGGCAGGAGCTGGGAGAGGGAAGCAGGAAGCAAGGCCGCCGCTGGAAGGTGCCCTGCAAGCAGGTGTGCATGGTGGCCCATGGAATGAGTTAGGCTGGACAATGGGCTCAGAAGTCCTGACCTGATTCAGGGGTGCTCTGTACACCAGCCTGTTAGCAGAGAGCTACTGAGGCCAGATCAACAATCCCTAAGCATTTGGGCCGCCTTAGGGGCAGTGACACAGTGCCAGGGGCTGGAGAAAAGCCTCAGGTGACATGTGTGTTTGCAGTCGGTGGCGAGCCCTGGTGAGGTTAGCATGGGGAGGTAGTGGGGCCTTGGCAGGGTCGGCTGTGTGGCAGCTCAGGGAGAGAGGACCCATGGTGAAAGCCCCACTGGTGGCTGGAGGGCAGGCCTGGCAGAGACACAAGAAGTGCTGGGCAGAGGGTGGAGGGGAAGTGGCCTGGGCCGCAGAGGGCCATGCCACAAGTGCATGTGTGTGGTGTGCTGCTTGCCCAAGAAAAGTGAGCACCTCATTTCCTGGGGGCCCAGCCAGGCTGTGCCACCAGCCCCACTTACTATAGTTGAACCCAGTCACCCGCATGAAGCTACTGTTAGCCTGGACCAAGGCCTCGTTGGGCCAGTGTTTCACCCGGAAGGCCTGCTGGGCCCAGGTATCCCTGGGGAGCAGTGCACTTGTGCACCGTCTCACCAGCTCCCCGGATGCAGGCGCCACGTCTGAATCAAAGACATGCAGTGTGGCCACCACAGTGTCCTGCAGGATGCAGAGGGCATTGGTAAGTGCAGGCTAGAGGGACTCCTCAGACTCCCCAAAACCAGAGACCTTAGGACACTGCTCATCCCACAGAGCCGACAGGTGGACCAGGTATGTTGTCAGAGCCGGGTCTGGAGACAGTCTGACCTGAGTTCAAGTACCCATGGGGGTCACTAGCCAGTTTGGCCCAGTTACCTTCTCTGGGCCACAGTGCCTCATCTGTGTAACAGGTACAATACAGACCTCTCATAAGGAGATCTACAGCAGATAGCCAGGCACCTGGCTGGCAGGTCCCACCCAGGTCCCCAGAGAGCAAAATGAACATTCCCACTCTCCCTCTGAGGAAGCTGGGCCCCACAGGGTGAAGATCAGGTCAAGGTAACACAGGAACAGAGGCAGAGCCCAGATGCAAGCCCAGGTGTACATCAGAGTGCTCTGCTCCAAGCATCCTCCTACACCAGGCTGGAGGGGGTTGTGAAGAGAGCCACTGGCCACCTTTGGGACGGCTCTGCTCACCAGGCCTCTATCACCCCAAGGCTGCCCAGGGAGGCTCACACAGCCTTTACTCACAAGGTGTGCTTTTGGCCAGACCTCTTTTCCCTGCCAAACCTGAATGTGGAGTGACCAGAGAAGCGGGACAAGGCAACGCACTATCATCCCAGGGTTCCCCACACCCACTCTCCAACGGCCAGGAGGGCTGGGCTGGCTGCAGGAAGGCTTGAAGCCCAGCAGGTGGTGGTAGCGCTCCACCAGCACCGGCCAGAGAGGGACAAGGTGGGCGGCACCAGGGGTAATCCGCCTTCGCGTCCCCCTCCAATCCTGGGCTCCGCTCTTCGTCAGGGGCTGACTGCTGGTGGGAGGGAGTGCCCTACAGGAAAATGCTCCCTGCTGGGGCAGCTCACCGCTCCCGCCTGCAGCGACGAAAGTGTGCCCCACATGGCTGCCCTTGAGCCTCGTCCTGCCTGGGCACCCAGGGGTCCCGGCCTCCTGAGGCAAGGCCCAGCTGGGAGCTAGAAGCACTGCCCGTTCCCCTCCTCCTAGGATAGGCGGCGCCAATGAAAACAAAGACAAATGAACATGCGAGGGGTCCAAAGTGGCTCCTGCCGGAGGTCATGGTGCTCGCGAAGGCAAGGTCATCAGTTCAAGGCTAACCTCATAAGCTCAAACTGATTGGTAAAAAAAAAAGGGAGCTCTCATTGAATCCGCGGAGAGGTGAGTCGGAGCTGCATTTCCATACTGATCTTTGTTGCCCACAGAACGGGGAAACTCCCAAGTATAAAGGAGACGTGGGATGCCAGGCAGTAACTCTGCCTGGCGAAGCCGGCAGGCGAGGTGGCGGCAGCCGGCCCCACCCAGTGCTCTCCACAGGGCGCGCTTGTCCGGGTGCCCTGTTGAACCGACAACCTGAGACTTGAGAGGGCTGGACTTGAGACTGAACGAGACTTGGACAGTAGGCCAGCCCAGGAGATTGCAGGGACAGAGCGTTTGGGGTACCCAGTGGGACGAACAAAACCGCGATTTCAAACTATCCCCGTGCAGACGGTCCGAGACGCTCTGTGGGGGAGGGGCGTCCACCATTACCGAGGCAACCCACCCCAACTGAGATACACGCCCACTGCTGACGCAGCCAGCCATTGCCAAGGCAACCTGTCCCTACTGAGATACACGCCCACTGCTGACGCAGCCTGCCGTTGCCGAGGTAACCCACTACAACGAAGAGACTCTGCTGCAGGGCGTGGTGGAGACCACAGAAGAACAGCAGAGCCTGCAGCAACAGGGCGAACCACACAAGAACAGGGCGGAGCCTCGGCAGGCAAACAGTGGCTAGTCTGCCTCCTAGCTGGGCAGGACACCTCAACAGACATCCAAAAATAAAGCCCGAACCCCCCAACACAGAGCATTTGGGATAAAAAGGGTTTTCTTAATGAGCTCTGCTGCAGCAGAATCAAACATAGCAGCCTAAGAGCCCTGAATGAACAAGAGAGATCACAGCTCAGCAATTGAGCTCCTATAAAGTACAGACTGTCTCCTCAAGCAGCCCCCTGACCCCTCTATATCCAAAAGACTGACATTTGGCAGGCATCATCCTGGGACAAAGATAGCAGAAAAAGAAACTGGTAGCATCCCTCGCTGTGCCACAGCTGCTAGAGGTGCACCCCAGACTAGCAGGGCCTGGAGTGGACCTCAGCAGTCATACAGCAAAGGGGCTAGACTGGTAGAAGGAAAACCAAGTAACAGAAATACTTCATCATCAACAATCTGGGTGTCCACTCAGAGACCCAATCGAAAAGTCAGCAACTACGCAGACGACAAGCGGATAAATCCACAAAGATGGGAAGAAACCAGCGAAAAAAGGAGGAAAACACCCGAAACCAGAACACCTCGCCTCCTAGAAAGGACCAAAACTCCTCACCAGCAAGGGAACAAAGCTGGATGGAGAATGACTGTGATGAAATGACAGAATTAGACTTCAGAAGGTGGATAATGAGAAACTTTTGTGAGCTAAAAGAACATATATTAAATCAATGCAAAGAAACTAAGGAACTTGAAAAAAGATATGAGGAAATGATAACAAGAATGGATAACTTAGAGAGGAATATGAATGAATTAAAGGAGCTGAAAAACACATTACGAGAACTTCGCGAAGCATGCACAAGTTTCAATAGCCGAATTGACCAAGCAGAAGAAAGAATATCTGAAGTCGAAGACCAATGCAATGAAATAAAATGAGAAACCAAGATTAGAGAAAAAAGCGCAAAAAGGAATGAACAAAGTCTCCAAGAAATGTGGGACTATGTGAAAAGACCTAACCTACGTTTGATAGGTGTACCAGAAGGGGACAAAGAGAATGAATCCAAGCTGGAAAATACTCTTCAGGACATCATCCAGGAAAACTTCCCCCACCTAGGAAGACAGGCCAACACTCAAATGCAGGAAATACAGAGAACACCACAAAGATATTCTGCAAGAAGAGCAACCCCAAGGCACATAATTGTCAGATTCAACAAGGTTGAAATAAAGGAGAGAATACTAAGGGCAGCCAGAAAGAAAGGTCGGGTTACCCACAAAGGGAAGCCCATCAGACTCACAGCAGATCTCTCGGCAGAAACACTACAAACCAGAAGAGAATGGAGGCCAATATTCAACATTCTTAAAGAAAAGAACTTTCAACCCACAATTTCATATCCAGCCAAACTGAGCTTCAGAAGTGAAGGAAAAATAAAATCCTTTGCGAACAAGCAAGTACTCAGAGATTTTGTCACCACCAGGCCTGCTTTACAAGAGCTCCTAAAAGAGGCACTACACATAGAAAGGAACAACCAGTACCAGCCATTCCAAAATCACACTAAATGCTAAAGAACATCAACATAATGAAGAATCTACAACAACTAACGGGCAAAACAGCCACTTAGCATCAAAATGGCAGTATCAAATTCACACATAACAGTATTAACCCTAAATGTAAGTGGACTAAATGCACCAATCAAAAGACACAGACTGGCAAATTGGATAAAAAGCCAAAACCCATCAGTGTGCTGTATCCAGGAAACCCATCTCACATGCAAGGATACACAAAGGCTCAAAATAAAGGGATGGAGGAAGATTTACCAAGCAAATGGAGAGCAAAAAAAAGCAGGAGTTGCAATTCTCATCTCTGATAAAATAGACTTTAAAGCAACAAAGATCAAAAGAGACAAAGAAGGACATTACATAATGGTAAAAGGATCGATAAAACAAGAAGAGCTAACGATCCTGAACATATATGGACCCAATGCAGGAGCACCCAGATACATAAGGCAAGTTCTTAATGACTTACAAAGAGACTTACACTCCCACACAATAATAGTGGGAGACTTTAACACTCCACTGTCAATATTAGACAGATCAACCAGACAGAAAAGCAACAAGGATATCCAGGGCTTGAACTCAGACCTGGAGCAAGCAAACCTGATAGTCATTTACAGAACTCTCCACCCCAAATCCACAGAATACACATTCTTCTCAGCACCACATCACACCTACTCTAAAATTGACCACATAATTGGAAGTAAAGCACTGCTCAGCAAATGCAACACAACTGAAATCATAACAAACAGCCTCTCAGACCATAGTGCAATCAAGTTAGAACTCAGAATACAGAAACCAACCCAGAACCGCACAGCTTCATGGAAACTGAACAACTGGCTCTTGAATGTTGACTGGGTAAACAATGAAATGAAGACAGAAATAAAGAAGTTCTTCGAAACCAATGAGAACGAAGACACAACATGCCAGAACCTCTGGGACACATTTAAAGCAGTCTCTAGAGGAAAGTATATAGTAATAAGTGCCCATATGAGGAGAATGGAGAGATCCAAAATTGACACCCTATTGTCAAAATTGAAAGAGCTAGAGGAGCAAGATCAAAAAAACTCAAAACCCAGCAGAAGACAAGAAATAACTAAGATCAGAACTGAACTGAAGGAAATTGAGACACGAAAAACCCTTCAAAAAATCAATAAATCCAAGAGCTCGTTTTTTGAAGAGATCAACAAAATAGACAGACCACTAGCCAGACTGATTAAAAATAAAAGAGAGAACAACCAAATAGATGCAATAAAAAATGATAAAGGGGAAATCACCACAGATTCCACAGAAATTCAAACCATCATCAGAGAATATTACAAACAACTATATGCACATCAACTAGTAAACCTGGAAGAAATGGATAAATTCCTGGACTCCTGTGTCCTCCCAAGCCTAAACCAGGAGAAAGCTGAAACTATGAATAGACCAATAACAAGGTCAGAAGTCGAGGCCGCAATTAAGAGCCTACCACACAAAAAAAGCCCAGGTCCAGACGGATTCACAGCCAAATTCTACCAGACACACAAAGAGGAGCTGGTACCATTCCTTCTAAAACTATTTGAAACAATCCAAAAAGAGGGAATACTTCCCAAATCATTTTACGAGACCAACATCATTCTGATACCAAAACCCGGCAGAGACCCAACAAGAAAAGAAAACTTCAGGCCAATATCCATGATGAACATAGATGCAAAAATCTTCAATAAAATATTGGCAAGCCGACTGCAACAGCAAATCAAAAAACTTATTCATCATGATCAAGTAGGATTCATCCCGGGGATGCAAGGCTGGTTCAACATACGCAAGTCTATCAACGTAACTCACCACATAAACAGAACCAAAAACAAAAACCACATGATTATCTCAATTAACGCAGAGAAGGCATTTGACAAAATTCAACAGCCCTTTATGCTAAAAACCCTCAATAAACTCGGTATCAATGGAACGTATCTCAAAGTAATGAAAGCTATTTATGACAAACCAACAGCCAATATCATACTGAATGGGCAAAAACTGGAAGCATTCCCTTTGAAATCTGGAACTAGACAAGGATGCCCTCTTTCACCACTCCTATTCAATATAGTACTGGAAGTTCTAGCCAGAGCAATCAGGCAAGAAAAAGAAATAAAGGGTATTCAAAATAGGAAAGGTGGAAGCCAAATTGTCTCTATTTGCAGACGACATGATAGTATACCTAGAAGACCCCATCGCCTCAGCCCAAAAACTCCTGAAACTGATAAGCAACTTCAGCAAAGTCTCAGGATATAAAATCAATGTGCAAAAATCACAAGCATTCGTCTACACCAATAACAGACTTAAAGAAAGCCAAATCAAGAACGCACTGCCATTCACAATTGCTACAAAAAGAATAAAATACCTTGGAATACAACTCACAAGGAACGTAAGGGACCTCTTCAAGGAGAACTACAAACCACTGCTCAACGAAATCAGAGAGGACACAAACAGATGGAGAAACATTCCATGTTCATGGTTAGGAAGAATTAATATCGTGAAAATGGCTATACTGCCCAAAGTAATTTACAGAATCAACGCTATCCCCATCAAGCTACCATTGACTTTCTTCACAGAACTGGAAAAAACCACCATGAACTTCATATGGAACCAAAAGAGAGCCCGCATAGCCAAGTCAATTCTAAGCAAAAAGAACACAGCGGGGGGCATCACACTACCGAATTTCAAACTATACTACAAGGCTACAGTAATCAAAACAGCATGGTACTGGTACCAAAACAGAGATATAGACCAATGGAACAAAACAGAGGCACCGGAGGCAACACAACATACATACAACTATATAATCTTTGATAAACCTGACAAAAACAAGCAAGGGGGAAAGAATTCCCCATTTAACAAATGGTGTTGGGAAAACTGGCTAGCCATGTGCAGAAAGCAGAAACTGGACCCCTTCCTGACACCTTACACCAAAATTAACTCCAGATGGATTAAAGACTTAAACATAAGACCTGGCACCATAAAAACTCTAGAAGGAAATCTAGGCAAAACTATCCAGGACATAGGAGTAGGCAAGGACTTCATGAACAAAACACCAAAAGCATTGGCAACAAAAGCCAAAATAGACAAATGGGACCTAATCACACTCCACAGCTTCTGCATGGCAAAAGAAACAGTCACTAGAGTGAATCGGCAACCAATAGAATGGGAAAACATTTTTGCAGTTTACCCATCTGACAAAGGGCTGATATCCAGAATTTACAAAGAACTCAAACAGATTTACAGGAAAAAAACAAACAAGCCCATTCAAAAATGGGCAAAGGATATGAACAGACACTTTACGAAAGAAGACATATATGAGGCCAACAATCATATGAAAAAATGCTCATCGTCACTGGTCATCAGAGAGATGCAAATCAAAACCACATTGAGATACCATCTCACGCCAGTTAGAATGGCGATCATTAAAAAATCTGGAGACAACAGATGCTGGAGAGGATGTGGAGAAAAAGGAACACTTTTACACTGTTGGCGGGAGTGTAAATTAGTTCAACCATTGTGGAAGACAGTGTGGCGATTCCTCAAGGCCTTAGAAATAGAAATCCCATTTGACCCAGCAATCCCATTACTGGGTATGTATCCAAAAGAGCATAAATCGTTCTACTATAAGGACACATGTACACGAATGTTCATTGCAGCACTGTTTACAATAGCAAAGACCTGGAATCAACCCAAATGCCCATTGATAATAGACTGGATTGGAAAAATGTGGCACATATACACCATGGAATATTATGCAGCAATCAGAAATGATGAGTTTGTGTCGTTTGTAGGGACATGGATGAATCTGGAGAACATCATCCTCAGCAAACTGACACAAGAACAGAAAATGAAACACCGCATATTCTCGCTCATAGGTGGGTGATGAAAAATGAGAACACATGGACACAGAAAGGGGAGTACTAACACTGGGGTCTATTGGGGGAAAAGGGGAGGGCCAATGGGAGGGGGAGGTGGGGAGGGATAGCCTGGGGAGAAATACCAAATGTGGGTGAAGGGGACAAGGAAATCAAGGCACACTGCCATGTGTGTACCTATGCAACTGTCTTGCATGCTCTGCTCATGTACCCCAAAACCTAAAATCCAATAAAAAATTAAAAAAAAAAAAAAAGAACACGCGAACGGTCGGCCACATGGTTGAGTGGCTACCCGGATACTAAACCAACCGAGAAAGGAACTGCGGCCGGAGACAGACACTGGATAGACTATAGGGTGTGCGGACAAGCACCTCCTTCCGGGTGAACTCCACCAAGGCGCTGGCGGTGTCGACGCCGGCTGGGAAGGTGGGCGCCGAGTCGTCCTCGTCGTACACGGTCACCGGGAAGGGCACCATCTCCACCTCCTCAAGCGCACAGGTGCTCACGGTGCACACGGCCGTGGTCCAGGGCCCAGCGCGTGCTCACCTCCAGTGTCTGGAGCGCAGCGGAAGGGCAGACCCTCACCTGCGCACCAAGCCGACAGAGGCCCTGCGTCTTCCTGCGGGAGGGGCCTCTGCAGTCAGAGCGGGGAACACAACTAACTCCGAACTCCGGCCTCGGCCCCAGGCCTCCCCTCCTTCACTCCACAGGGGAGTGTAGTGCTCCCAGCCCGAGTTTGCAGCGATGACTGTTTTTACATGCCGTGTCCTGCTGCAGCTGCGCCCTCACTCGTGCTGGTGGGGAAGAGCAGGAAGCAGATACTCTGATCACCCAGTAGGGCCCGGGGCACCCCTCCGCCCACGATCTCGAGTGAGCTTCTGTGGGGAAGGGTGGCTCCAGCTCAGCTCAGGCTTCAGGCCTAGAGAACCAGCTACTGGCCTTGGCTGCTTTCTAAAAAATGTTAGATTTTTTTTCCAATTCTGGAAGCAATGTCGGTTCATTTTAGAGAACGTGAGAAATAAAGCCACGATTCTACCGCTTTAAAACAAACATGGCAAGATCAGAAAATCGAACACCGTATGTTCTAACTCATAGGTGGGTGTTGAACAATGAGAACACATGGACACAGGGAGGAGAGCATCACACACTGGGGTCTGTTGCGGGGCAGAGGGGTGGGGGGACTGGGGAGGGACAGCAGGGTATAGGGAGGTTAAGGAGGGATAACATGGGGAGAAATGCCAGATATAGGTGACGGGGGGATGGAGGCGCAAACCACATTGCCATGTATGTACCTATGCAACAAACCTGCATGTTCTACACATGTACCCCAGAACCTAAAGTGCCATATATATAAAAACACGGTGGACATCTGGCATATGATGTGACATTAATGCATAATGATTTTCCACCGCCTAGTGTGCATCTCTGCTCTACACCTCCTTGTCCAATGCCTCGCCAGGCTGGTCATCCTATGCGTGCAGAAGGCGGGATGTAGAGGCAAAAGCACTTGCTCCATGCCCTGCATGGTGGCTCCGCTCATGCTCTACATTGCCCTGTGAGGCAAGGCCAGGAACCACAACACACTCTTCGACGAGCCTGTCATTGGATCTGTCCTCCAGAAATAACCCAAGAAGAGGTCATGACGAAGGCGGAAGGCCACCGCTGAAGACCCCACAGCCAACCCCAAGGAGGCGGGGGCAACTCCACAGACCTCCCAGTCAGAACCATGCCTTGCACGTGAATTACACGTGTGGGAAATGCTTATCTTATAATGCTTTTCTCCGTTGAGTGTGATTACAAAGAAATCCCATTAAACTAAATTTAATAACATAATTTTTAGTGAAAAAGGGTAGCATACAAAAAACCAATTGCTTCACCAACCATCTGGTTCAAAGACATCTATCCCTGTCCCAGAGAATGAAAGGAATCCAGGGAAGCATGAGTGATGACTTTTCTACCTTTACTGAGATTTTAATATTCTTGCCATGTTTGTGTGATAAAGCTAATGTGAACGCAGGATGCACTTGCCAGAGGTGCAGCCTCTGTGACCTGGTTGAGCTCCACTTCCTGACTTTCAGATGGTCAAATGGGGCCTCTCTGCACCTGCTCAGCTGCCTTCTCCTCTCTCCGCTGAGATCCAGCTCCTCCCACCCCTGGCTGGGTTGGCTGTCCTTGCTGCTGCTCCATGGGCCCCCCTCTACACCCCACATCCAATCCATGAGAGAGTCCTGCTGGATCTTCCATCTAGGCATCCCTGCAACTGCCTGCTTCTCGCCATACCTTGGCTTCCACCCGCATCCGGGCATCATTACAGCCCACATCTTCCCATTCAGAGGTTTCTCCTGTAGCCTTCTGGTCTCCCAGCTTTGCCCCTGAATCTTCCCACCCCAAACCATCCCTAACACAGCAGTCTGACTAATCTTTTAAAAACTAAGTCAGGTCCTGCCATCACTCCCTCCCTCCAAAGTCTTCCATATTTCCCCATGTTCCTCAGGAGAGAGCCCTGAAAGCCACTCCCATACCTGCCCCCACCCCAGGAACTATTCTGCCCTATCGGTCCCAGCTCTTCCCTGTCTCAGTGCACTCCAGGCACATGAGGGTCACACTGTGGCGCCCTCCAAGGGGCTAAGCCTGAATATCTGACACCCTCCCTCCTTTGCTCTGCTAGCCCCTGCCCTGACTACTCAATTTACAATGGAAGAATGGAGGTCTCCTCCTCTGTTCCCCTCTTCTTGGTTTCCTCCCTAGCTAGCTCCTTCCAGAAGCCACCCAATTTCCTTGGCATGCTTGGATGCTCTGACTGCCCCACAAAATGAAAGCTGCAGGCAGGCAAGATTCCAACCTGCTGTGTTCACTGTCACACCCTTAGGGGCTAGAACAGTACCTGGCTCCTGGCAGGCATGCAGGAGGTATTTCCGGAATACTGAATGAACTGATGGCATGGCGGTGAAGCATAAACCAGATGGCTTGTGTCAAGGGCTCACAGAGCAAGCCCAGCAGCAGCAGGCACTGAGCGGCAGCCCCACAATGTCAGCAGTCACCCTTCAGGAGCCTGTAGGCCACACCGATGTTGGAGCGCAAGAACTGCACAGGCAGCAGGTGGAACTGGTGGAAGGTGCCTGGGGGCCGGTTCTCACAAATGCGGAAGTAGAGGCTTTTCTCCGGGAAGCAGAGCTCCCGGGGCTTGAGGGAGCTGCAGGCCGGAAAGGAGGTGCTGAAGAAGGAGAAGTACACTCGGACACAGCCTGGCCACTGGCACTCACCCTCACGAAGGGACGTGGGCGACAGGAAGACCTTGAGGTAGACGGTGAACACCTGGAAGCCTCCATTTGCAGAGAGAAGTCACGCCTGTGAGGGCGTCGGCCACACCTGCCAGGCAGTAGGGAATGGGGAGGAGGCAGGAGCTCCAGGCCTAGTGGAAAACCTGATCCCCACCAAGGTCCACAAGGCTCAGCCTGTGCTCCAGCTCTACCTGCTACCTCCTTGCCTCTGCTGCAGGGCCCTGCGGCCTGGAGCACCAGTGCCCCACAGGCCTGGCTCTCGTCATTCAGTTCTCAGCTTAGAGGCCCCTTCCTTAGGGAGGCGTGCTGAGCACTGGGTTGAAGTCTCCCCGACTCTGCTGGTGGCAACTTTTCCAGTAAGTGGTGACCAGCACCCTGCCTGCCACACCCTCCCCAAGGAGGTTTGGAGTGGCCACAGACAGACTTCCCCAATGCCCAGAGGGGGCATTTCTCTCAAGTTCCATCACTGAGGCGCCAAAGCGATTTCCGCTGTACTTCGAGCGCTTTCCCAGCTTCCATCTCAGCCGGAGGTGGGCGGCTGCTCCTCAGAGCTGCTCTTCCCGTATTCTCTGGTGTTCTCTGCTTTTTGTTAGCCTGTCCATCACTGCTCCAATCCTCTGTTGTAATTAATTCTTTACACAAACTTTCCCTGTTCAAATCACCCTGTGGTTTCTTCCTTGACAGGACCTGGCCATGTATGAAGCCTCTCCCCACTTTGGAGGGCTCAGGCCTCCTAGGAATCTCAGGCCCAGGGCAAATTCCATGCTGGCCCCACCCAGGGACTCCCATTCCTCAAGCTCCACCCTGAGGGCTCAGGTTGAAGAGAACAGCAACTAAGTGCATAGAACCAAGACCCATCTCAGATGCTGCCTCCTCCAGGAACTGCCTGGGCTACCCCGGAGGGAGCTGCCCACCCAAGCCCCCTCCCTGTCCTGCACCGGGCTGCCTCTGGCAGACGGGCCACTCTGCCTGAGTACAGAGCTTAGGGTGGTTGCTGGGGCTGTGCAAACCGTGGCCCTGGAGGGGTGGCAGGAGGTGGGAGCTACTGGGGGCAGCATCACTGTTCCCTGTCACAGCCACCCTGCTCTCCCCCACCCTTTCGAGCTCTAATGTCATGTGTGGCCATGACTCCAGCACTGACTGCTCCACTTTCCTCCCTGGACACCCAGGACAGGCACGAGTCCCTGCCATAAGCCAGCTCTGATAAGAAGTCAGGCTTTCCTTAGGATCTGCCGCTTCTCTAGAGAGCTGCAGGTTATTTGGTAAGTCAAAACTTTGGGATTTTTTCAGCCCCACTTACTCCCTCTCTCGAAATCTCCTAATCCTTTTTAGCACCACTGGAAGAAGAATTCAGGTCTGGCAGAAGTGTGTGTCTCCAAACCCCCACAGCCTCAGGAAGCCCTAGGGTCACTGGCAGCCCTGAAACTTGTCCTGGCTTCTCTTCAGGCTGGACACAGAGGCTGGCCAGCCTCACCTCACCCCTGATGCCCTCCACACCAGGGGTGGTGGGGAAGCCAACCCTAACCTCAGTTTCAGTGGCTGTGATGAGGGTGGCTTGAGGAAGGGGTGGGGTGGGGTGTGGGGATGGGAGTGGGGGCAGCTCCCTTACTGGGGACACTGAGCTTCTCCCAGGTTCTCTGGTCCAGGCTCCAGTTAAGGTAGAGGAGGCCGGTGTCCTCCTGGATGGGATCCAGTTGTTCTTGTGCAGCCACATGTGGTAAGTGCCATAGAGGTGCCGGCCGAGGCAGAAGCTGGGCACCTCCCCAGGAGTGTCCCGCAGCACATGGACATAGAGCAAGAGGGTGCTGGCCTGCTGGTCCATATACAGCTTCTCCCAGCAAGCATCCCTTGAGAAGTAGAGGCCCAGTGCCACTGTGGGAAGTAGAGAAGTGAGTGAAGGATGGTGAGGATAAGGCTTCTTCAAGGACAAAAAAAAAATCATTAGTTTAAAATTCCTATCTTAGCAGGAGTTTTTCATCTCCGGTCCTGAGAACATGAATACTCAATTATTTGTGTAGTTACACCCTGGCTAGAAAAGGACTGCTTTAAAATAGAGGAAGGAAAGAAGACAGTGGAGGCAGTATCCACAGTGGCAAGCCTGTTCTCAATCACCCAGGCTGGAAGGGCACCCGAACCACACAGGCTTCTCAACAGGTCACCCAGAGCCAGAGTGTTCAAGGGCAGGAGACACTGCCAGCCATGCGGGCAGGCAGCAGTTGCCAAAAATGAAGAAAGCTCTTTACAGGAAAGTCATAAATCTTTATCTAAACATACACCTACCATATGACCCTGCAATTCCACACCATTCATCCAAGAGAAGTAAAACATACGTCCATCAAATGGTGTAGCGGGAACTGGAACTGGATGATTCACAGAAACCAAGTGCCTAGAGGTCCTTCAGCAGGTGGATGGACAGGCAGGCTGTGGTCCAGCCATGCCACAGAATCCTGCCCAGAAAAAGGGTGAACTATGGATACATGCAAACAACTGGATGGGTCATACACCCATCCAGTGCCACATAACAATAAGTGCCAAGTGGAGTCTAGAAGAGAACAGATGAGACGTCTGGAGTCCCACACTGGGAAAACAGAACAGCAGAAGGCTTCTCTTGAAGTGCTCACTGCACATAAGAACACAGCTCGCATGACAGCACCCTTTGTGGGGGGGTGGTGCATTTCTTGTGACAAAGATGGTGAGAGACTATAACTCACAGTGGCCTCACAGGGCGAGGAGGGGCCGGATGCCCTGGGCCCTGATAAGCCCCCTCCCAATCCCATGTGGTGTCTCATGTCTGGGCTATTCACTTAGGTGGCGGGGTCCACATTCTCACCTCAGAGGGGATTCTAGGCGCTGACTGAGCTCAGGTCGGGAGAGGCAATGCAGCTCTTCCAGATCTAGTTTTCTCTGGGACATGCACCTCTGGCCCTGGCCTTCCCAATAAGAACTGTTTGCCCTTTGGTGGTTGCAGGGTGTCTCTGGTGATGCTCAGGCTGCAGAAAAGTGGGCACCCTTCTGCCACAGGAGCAGATCCAGAATGGGAATCCCACAGGTGCTCCTCTGGGGCCTCCATGATGTGCTCGCACCTTCAGTGGTCCAGGGACTGGAGGTAGGACAGGCCTGGGTTCCCCAAAGCCCCCACCACAAAGACCACATGTGCAGGAAAGAACGGGCCTTCCTGCTCCCATCTAGCAGAGCCCACCCCTACAGGATCGTGTGGGGCCCAATCCCAATTGGTCTCCCTGTTGCCAAAAGGGATTTGTGGGTCAGGCAATGATTGTGAGCAGAAACAGACTTAAATGCACTTAAAATGCCTCCCAGGTGGTCTCTGCAGCTGGGCACAGCTGTCAATGTTCCTGCTTGTCACAGGCACTTCTAGATGGAAAAACACATGGTCCAAGGTGGGATAACTGAGGAGGTGGGTGCAGGGCCAGCCTCAGCGGAGAGCAGCCGGGGCAGTCCCAGTGGGCCCTGCTCAGAGGTCTCATGCTTGGTTTAATGCTCTGTTGCTACAGTCTTGAAATTCTTCATAATTCTAGAGCAAGCAGCCCACAAACGATGATGCAGCTAATCGTGGTGGGTCAGTGACAGGGGAGAGCCAGGGAAGAGCTGCTGGTCAGACACCATTGAGCTGTGCAGCCTTTGTAGATCACTGGCCTCTTCTCAGCCTCAGTTTCCCCAGCTTTGAACTGGGGAAGGCATGCTAGGGAGAGGAGGAACAGCCAGGGCAGGTGCAGCCAGACGTGAACCTCTGCCCAGGGGTGTATAATCATGAGCCTCTCACGGCAGACTCATAGCCAATGGGTGCAGATCCCTTCACTGCCCACTTCACAGATAAGAACACTGAGGCTGAGAGGTGAGAAGCCTGACCAAGTCAAACAGCTGGGCATACTGTGAGACTTTGTGTCTTGGGGTTGGAATAATGGCTAAGGAAGTTGATGGTGGAAGTCCAGCGTCAACAGGTGTTGAGTCTGCCAGGAGGTCCAGGGCCCTGCTGACTGGAACCCATCCTGTTGCTGCCATTCTGCCTACCAGGGCCACCTGGTCTGTGGGCCAAGGTCAGGCCCGTGGGCTGAGACCTGCCTCTGGTAAGAGCCACCCCTGGCACCATGGGAAGATCACCAGCAGGACTTGCAAAGCTTTTCCCACCCCATGCGTTCAGGGCCCAAATGCCACATGGTGACAGGATCCTCCCCCACACTTAGCACACAGGTGTCTGCCTGGACAGCTTTGGCTGCCAGGGCTGAGCCTGCCCTGTACTTCTGCAGCACTGCGGTGGCCTGGCACACACCACACCCGCCAACAGTGCAAATGGCAGTGTCTCTTGTCTAAGAAACCAAGAGGATTCCCCTGTCAACACTCAATGACCTCCCCACCGTGGTTCTGGTTCCTCAGGCTGGCTGTGCCCTGGCACCATGCAGGCCAGGGTGGGGAAATGTCCTGGTTGCTCACAGAATGCTTACCAAAGACCGAAGTTTCTGTTCACATTCAGAGAGACCTCAGGAACCTTCAAGGATGTGTAGTGTGTGTCATGAGTGTGTATATATGTGTGCATGCACAGGGCATGCAGGAGACAGAAACAGAGATGGAGACACGCCCACCCAAGGCTCCATCTGCTTCCACCCTGCCCACCTCAGCAGGAAAGACTCGACCCTCATGTTTGACAGAGTGAAGTGCTAGACTGTTTCCAATGATCCACATTTGGCTGGGATGTTTAATTTATTCATCATTGGATGCAGGGGGGACCAGTCCCGAGTGCCCTCGTCCCACTCATGTGTGTGCACACACCTTAGTCCACACCCTCTGTCCAGGTGTGCATGTTCTCAGGCCCAGTCAGTCCTGCAGCAGTCTCCGTTGCAGACAGCACAAGGCTGAGCTTTATTCATGGAGGGAGCTGGAGCAATGCTGGAACAGGCCAGGGCTTGCTCCTGTCCCCCAACATTACACCTGCCTTTTCTGGGTCCTGCTGCCCAGGCAGCGCACAAGACAGCGTGTGCTCCACTCTAGGGCGTACCCAAAGCATACAGTCCCTCGGCGCTGGTGCAGCCTACACCTGAGCCTGGCCATCAGCTTCCTGCAGCCCCCAGCCTCAGCTTCTGTGCCCCAAGGGGTTGCCTCCTACCAGCCCTGAACCTGCACAGCAGCCCCGGCCTGGGATCCAGCTCCCCTCTCAGGCTCTGACCCCAGCTGGGAGGGGATTTCTTCCCTGGTGCCCACCTGCAGCCAAGGGTGCCCCACAGAGCTCTCCCCACCCCCCAGTCCTTTTTCATCACAGCTTAGTGCCTCTCATTTTACTGCTCTTGTCCCAGGGACCACGTGGGGCTGTCTCCTGGTCAGATCCAGACTGACACATGGCACACATGTATTCCTTCTTTCTCACACACTCCTCTTGGATGCATACTATTAGACACCATAGGGGCACACGCTGCTACACATTCATTCTCCCATAAGCTCACACTTCCTCACACGACCAGTCTGACTCTGACAAGCATATGTATTTGCTCATACTGGTGCACACCCACTTTCACACCCAAGCACACACATTTTCTCACACCCCTGGTGCACACATACTAAGCGTGGCCTGGCCCTGTCTGCAGAGGTGGGGCTCACCAGCTCTCCACAGGCTCCTGGATGTGGCCCTTGGTCTCCCACTCTCCCACTGCCAGCCACCCAGCAGCTCTGATGGGGCACCGTGAGGTCACCCTCACCATGGCATGGAGACCCTGCCAGAGAAACACAAATGAAGCTCCAGATAGTGAAAACCTTCCCTAGGACAGCAGCACAAGGGCCGTAATTTGAGACTTCCAAAAAAGAAAAGAATAACAACTGAACTGTGTAAATTAGAAGCAGGGCAGGGCATGTGTGAAGAGCAGACCCTCCCTGCAGAACCCCTCATGGGATGCCAGTCCCATGCCTGCCCTTGATGGGTGGCAGACCCTGCAGATCACATCTTTATTATGGCCCAGCAGAATCTCCTTAAGAGACAATTTTCTGATGCAATCATCTTCCTGGGTATGGGAAACATGCCCCAAGGCTCTTCCCTGGGGGCTGGGGGTGGAAAAAGGTGGTCCCCACCACCCCAGGCCAGCTGTCCCTGTGGGGGTCCCTCCAACCCTACGCTGAGCACTGTTATCCTCTCAGGATGTGACCTGTTACCCAGTCCCCAACTGCTTCCCTCCCACTTTCCAGTCATGTTGTCTTACTATAGTCAAATATTTGACATGTATAAAGAATTCATTGCACAGAACATTTATGCCGAACAAACATCCAGGAGCCCATGACCCTGCTGAACTGGACACCTGGCCTCACTGCTGCCCCTCCCACCTCCCCACCTGCCACTGCGTCCCACCCCCACCAGCAGGAGGTGCGCTTGGCTTTTGGCATCATTCATGGAAGGCACATTTTTGCTGGGTAGAGAGTCCCATGTGGACAGCTATTTTCCTCCTTACTCCCATCTTTCGGCGTCCCTCCTGCTGCTGAGGGCCCCTCCTGGGTATCCTGACTTCTCCCAGCTGCTCGTAGGACCTCCTCTGTCTTTGGTGCTGTCTGGCATTGCTGTGATGCTACCGAGGCTGCTCACCTTGGCTGGTTTCCTCCTCTGCAGCCTGTCCTCCAGATGGTGGTGGCAGCTCACTGGCTAGCCATATCCAGGCCCCGGGGCTGTTAACCCAGTCTCTGTGCTGGTGTGCAGTGTGCTGATCAGCAGCCTGGACCTTGGCCCGGGGCCAGCTGGGCATCTCCATGCCTTGTTCCATTTCTTTGCCCAGTCTGGCCCCTCCTCACCCCAAACTGCCCCCAACTTTTCCCCATCTCAACATGGCATGGCAGCACCTCACTGCTCAGGTCACACACCTAAGTCTGTAGAGCCCTGTCTCTTTCACCGTCCACCCCAGCTCCCAAGTCCCCTTTGCCAACACCATCCAACCTTGGACCACATGCTGGGCAGCACAGGCCACTTTGCACAGAGCAGCCAGGGTCCATCGGATCATGGCACCCTCTGTGGAGCCCTGTGTTAACTCCACTGCTTGCAGAATAAAACAGCTTCTCATCAGGGCTCCCAGGGCCCCCTCTGGCCTCCACTCACTTCCTCCTCACTCTTACAGGGTGCCCACCTTTCCGCCACAACTGCTAACTCACTCCGTGAGCTGAGAGAATAAATGAATTCATGAATCAATGAATGAATCAATTGATCAAAAAGCCAGCACAATGGTTTCATAAACAGGAGTGTAAAAGGGCTGGGCAAGTTTGGGAATTGGTCAGAATTTGGGGTGGGGAAGGGGTTGGAGAATGGGGAGACAATGTGGCATGATCTCCAAGACACTGGAGCCACAGGCAGGCTGTCAGTGGCAGGACAGAGCTATATGGATGCCTTGTGCATACACGCAGTGCCCATGAGCGCACCAGCAGCCTTATGGGGCCAGCCACTGTGCTGAGCAAACAAGCCTGAGGCTGAGAACAAAACCACTCCTCTTCAGCTCAGGAAATGATCTCTCGGTGCCTGAGGAGCCCTGGACACCGGAGCTGCCAGCTAGACTCGCCTGGTGGGGACCACCTGCAGCATGCTGCACAGACCTGGGTCCTGGCTCTGTCCCAGCTGGAGGCTGCTTTTGCCTGGGACTATAATCTAACTTTACTTTTAGGAAAAAAACACAGATCAAGGAAGGCTCTCCTGTAAATAACAAATTTGGAGGCGTATACTAAGAGAGATCCCAGTTTTAAAAGTTATTTTATATTGTAAACTACACACGAAATTTATCATCTTAACATTTTTTTTTTTTTTTGAGATGGAGTTTCACTCTTGTTACCCAGGCTGGAGTGCAATGGTGCAATCTCGGCTCACGGCAACCTCTGCCTCCTGAGTTCAAGCAATTCTGCCTCAGCCTCCCGAGTAGCTGGGACTACAGGCATGCGCCACCATGCCCAGCTAATTTTTTTGTTTTTAGTAGAGACGGGGTTTCACCATGTTGACCAGGATGGTCTCGATCTCTTGACCTCGTGATCCACCTGCCTCAGCCTCCCAAAGTGATGGGATTATAGGCGTGAGCCACCGTGCCCAGCCTCATCTTAACATTTTTAAGTGTACAATTCAGTGGCATTAAGTGCATTCAGACTGTTGTGCAAACCATCCTTCCATAGCACTTTTTTTATCCTGTAAAACTGAAATTGCACCCATAAGACAATTACTCCCCCTCCTCTCCTCCCCCAGTTCCTGGAACCCTCCATTCTACTGTCTCTATGAATTTGACGACTGTAAGGACCTCATATAAGTAAAATCATACAGTGCTTGTCCTTTTGTGCCTGGCTTATTTCACTTAGCATAATGCCCTCGAGGTTCATCCATGCTCTAGTATGAGGCAGAATTTTTTTTAAAGCCAAGTAATATTCTATTTTATGTCTGTATTATACTTTGCTTACTTGGGTAACTTCCACTTTATGGTCACTGTAAATAATGCTGCTGAAAACGGGGATACACAAATGTATCCCGCCTGCTTTCCGCTTCCTTTCCTGTGTGTATCCAAAGTAGAGGTGCTGGAGCAGAAGGCAGCTATAGGTTTAACCTCTGAGGAGCCTCCCTGCTGTTCTCCACGGCAGCTTCCCCATTTACCTTCCAGCAGAGAATGCCCAAGGCATTCTCCACATCCTCACCAACACTGCTTTTTTTTTTTTAATAGCAGACATCCTAATGTGTGTGAGGTGGTATCACACTGTGATTTTCATTTGTATTTCCCTAATAACTGGCAGTGCTGAGAATCTTTTCATGTGCTTCTTGGCCATCTGGAGAAACATCCACCCAAGCCCTGTGCTCACTTTTTTTTTTTTGAGACAGAGTCTCACTCTGTCACCCAGGCTGGAGTGCAGTGATGCAATCTTGGTTCACTGAAACCCCCACCTCCTGAGTTCAAGCAATTCTCCTTCCTCAGCCTCCATTACACCAGGCTAATTTTTTTATATTTTCAGTAGAGACAAGGATTCACCACGTTGGCCAGGCTGCTTTCGAACTCCTGACCTCAAGTGATCTGCCTGCCTTTGGCCTTCCAGAGGATTACAGGCATCAGCCACCACACCCAGATCCCTGTGCTCATTTCAGAATCAGGTTTTCTGTTGCTGTTGTTGTTTGAGGAGTTCTCTATAGATTCTGGATTAACTCTTATCGGATCTATGAATTACAAGTTTTTCCCCCATTTCATGGGCTGTGTTTTCACTCTTCCATTGTGGCCTTGGTTCACAGAAGTTTTACATTTTGATATAGCCCAATTCATCTGTCCCTTCTTTGGCTATCTGTACATTTGGTTCTTTATTTTTTTTTATCACATTTTAGGTTTTGGGGTACATGTGCAGAGGATGCAATACAGTTGCATAGGTACACACATGGCAGTGTGTTCTGTTTGCTTTCACCCCTTCACCCACATTTGGCATTTCTCCCCAGGCTATCCCTCCCCACCTTCCCCTCCCACTGGCCCTCCCCTTTTCCCCCCAATAGACCCCAGTGTTTAGTACTCCCCTTTCTGTGTCCATGTGTTCTCATTTTTCATCACCCGCCTATGAGTGAGAATATGCGGTGTTTCATTTTCTGTTCTTGTGTCAGTTTGCTGAGGATGATGTTCTCCAGATTCATCCAGGTCCCTACAAATGACACAAACTCATCATTTCTGATTGCTGCATAATATTCCATGGTGTATATGTGCCACATTTTTCCAATCCAGTCTATCATCAATGGGCATTTGGGTTGATTCCAGGTCTTTGCTATTGTAAACAGTGCTGCAATAAACATTTGTGTGCATGTGTCCTTATAGTAGAATGATTTATAGTCCTTTGGGTATATACCCAGTAATGGGATTGCTGGGTCAAATGGAATTTCTATTTCTAAGGCCTTGAGGAATCGCCACACTGTCTTCCACAATGGTTGGACTAATTTACACTCCCACCAACAGTGTAAAAGTGTTCCTTTTTCTCCACATCCTCTCCAGCATCTGTTGTCTCCAGATTTTTTAATGATCGCCATTCTAACTGGCGTGAGATGGTATCTCAATGTGGTTTTGATTTGCATCTCTCTGATGACCAGTGACGATGAGCATTTTTTCATATGATTGTTGGCCTCATATATGTCTTCTTTCGTAAAGTGTCTGTTCATATCCTTTGCCCACTTTTGAATGGGCTTGTTTGTTTTTTTCTTGTAAATCTGTTTGAGTTCTTTGTAAATTCTGGATATCAGCCCTTTGTCAGATGGGTAAACTGCAAAAATGTTTTCCCATTCTGTTGGTTGCCGATTCACTCTAGTGACTGTTTCTTTTGCCGTGCAGAAGCTGTGGAGTGTGATTAGGTCCCATTTGTCTATTTTGTCTTTTGTTGCCAATGCTTTTGGTGTTTTGTTCATGAAGTCCTTGCCTACTCCTATGTCCTGGATAGTTTTGCCTAGATTTCCTTCTAGGGTTTTTATGGTGCCGGGTCTTATGTTTAAGTCTTTAATCCATCTGGAGTTAATTTTAGTGTAAGGTGTCAGGAAGGGGTCCAGTTTCTGCTTTCTGCACATGGCTAGCCAGTTTTCCCAACACCATTTTTTAAACATGGAATCCTTTCCCCATTGCTTGTTTTTGTCAGGTTTATCAAAGATTGTATAGTTGTTGTTTGGTAGAAAGTCCCGCCATCTTTCCTCCAGGTTTCTTGCCCCCACCCTCCCCCCAGGCTTCCTGCTGCCCTGAGAAAAGCCCGCCAAGCCTGCTCTGTTCTGCCCAGCAACAACAAGCAGCCAATCATCGCAGCAGGAAAGCCCGCCAAGCCTCGGCCTATCCTGAACCGACACGTAACCCTCTGAGCCACCTCAGCAGTCTGCCCAGAGATGGACAGCCTATCCTAAGCTCCTACGACACTCTGCCAGCCCTGTGTCCACGCCCCGTCCACCCCCCCATAAAACCCTCCTACCCCAGCTGCGCAGTCGCAGCCAGCCCTGATCTCCTTCCTTTCCTGGCCTGCCCGCTGGTCCCAATAAACCTGAACTCGGCTTCCAACTCTCGCTCGAGCTGTTACTTGGGATCGAGTACCGGGCAGGGGTCTACAAGGGGGTCGCACAGTTGTAGATATGTTGTGTTTCCTCCGGTGCCTCTGTTTTGTTCCATTGGTCTATATCTCTGTTTTGGTACCAGTACCATGCTGTTTTGAGTACTGTAGCTTTGTAGTATAGTTTGAAATTCGGTAGTCTGATGCCCCCTGCTGTGTTCTTTTTGCTTAGAATTGATTTGGCTATGCGGGCTCTCTTTTGGTTCCATATGAAGTTCATGGTGGTTTTTTCCAGTTCTGTGAAGAAAGTCAATGGTAGCTTGATGGGGATAGCGTTGATTCTGTAAATTACTTTGGGCAGTATAGCCATTTTCACAATATTAATTCTTCCTAACCATGAACATGGAATGTTTTTCCATCTGTTTGTGTCCTCTCTGATTTCGTTGAGCAGTGGCTTGTAGTTCTCCTTGAAGAGGTCCCTTACATTCCTTGTGAGTTGTATTCCAAGGTATTTTATTCTTTTTGTAGCAATTGTGAATGGCAGTTCGTTCTTGATTTGGCTTTCTTTAAGTCTGTTATTGGTGTAGAGGAATGCTTGTGATTTTTGCACATTGATTTTATATCCTGAGACTTTGCTGAAGTTGCTTATCAGTTTCAGGAGTTTTTGGGCTGAGGCGATGGGGTCTTCTAGGTATACTATCATGTCGTCTGCAAATAGAGACAATTTGGCTTCCACCTTTCCTATTTG